TATATATATATATATATATATATATATATATATATATAAATACCACTGTTATGGTGATTTTATAGTGTTTATAGCTGCAGTCACTATGTACTGCCTGTTGTACTGAAATTAGTCATGTAACAATTCTTCAAAATTCCTTTTGTGCTTCACAGAAAGAAAGAAAAATGGAACAACATTAGGATTTTAATAAGAAGAGAATTTTCAGTTGTGGATGAGCTATCCCTTTAAAAACGACATGCAGAATTCTCCTGAAAGCAAACAGCAAACTCTTTTCAGAGCGCACACATTTGGCTAAAGCTATTTGAATACTAGGACGGATTGTGCTATTCAACGGGCAGCATGTGGCTGCCAAGCAGAACAGATTGTTGAGGTGACTATTTAAAGAAATATGGACAAGCTCACACAGACTAGATAGTTTTTGTGTTTTTAATGTGAAAAGCAGCAACAGCCATGAGAAAGAGAAGGCCACGGAGGGATGGGGAACAAACCGAGTTTCTCATCCATATCTTCTCTCTCTCCTCAGAGGCTCTTTATCCAGGCTTTGATGCACAGATTAAAAGCTATTACTTCAGACAGGCAGGTGTGGAAATGCAATGCATGGATAGACAATCACATATGGAAAAAAAGAAAACAAAAGCCCAACCTTTTATCAGTCGAATAAATAACACCTTTGCTGGCTCTGGGACAAGAATGCCAAGATCTACTAAATCATTTCTCTTGTATCAACATAAATGGGGGAATTCATGAAGAATGAAGTGTACCTGCTGTTACGGTTTACTTGCACACACTGCCTGCATTGTTTAAAGGCAGATTCTCTAAAGAAATTATTTAAATCAGGTAACAGCTCAAACAGTATGCAAAGTCAATCTTCCTGATTGGTTCTGAGTGCTAGGTTGTCATCATTATCATGATTTGGGATACAGTATTTTACAGCATCACTTCTACATGATTCAGACATTTGATGCTGATGTCATGATCAAGAGAATATGTACAACCATATTTTAAATAAAGATTTTTAAATTCATACACTATACCATTCAAAAGTTGGTGGTTGGTTATTTTTTTATTGATTTTTTAATTTAAAAAAAACTTACCTCAAACTTTTGAACGATAGTGTAAACAAAATACTTTAAAATAAATAAAAAGGGTCAAATAAAATAAGGAAATTACCAATATTAATTGTCACACAAATAAAAAATTATAATTTACATAGGAAGGAAGCCTGTTTTCGATGAAAAGACTGACAATGAGTGTGTTTACATACACAATTTCTTATTAATAACCCGGCAAGGTCATATAAACGCCTTACAGGGTGTTTTATTTGGGAAAACTCAAACTGTTTAAGCAAGCTTGCTTCAACTGTTTAGTGAATTTGTCTTTCCATTTTGAAGATATGCCAACAATGGTGGAAAATGGCTCCCTCATACTACGTACTGGTAAGTAACACCTCCTTTATGTAAACTCTCTTACAATAAAATAAAAAATAGCTATAAACTGCTTTAGATAAATCAATGTGAGTATCATTATATTGTATAATTAGAAGAAGATAGAATGTTTCTGAATGCTGCTGATGTTGACCCACACTTTGCTGTGTGCTTTCAGTATCACTTGTCCCTGTTGCCTGGCTGTGGTTGTGTTCCAGCTTTGAGTCCATTAGAGTTCTTTGAAACTACTTATGTGAGGTCTGAACCGCTGCCAGAACGAACAGCTGCTTCAGCGTGTAAATCATCCTGTATAATGCAGAGGCTGTAAGCATGAGAATGCCCAGCTTCCCTGCCCACCAATGCGCCAGAAATCTGACAGTTCCTACCGACAAGCTCTCTAAACAAACGGCACGAGTGGCACAATGATTGTCCCCGATGCCCGTTTGTCTGCCGTCTACCTCACCAGTTAATTAGTTTCAGCTGTTTTTATGTTTGTGACCATGAAAGAATGACTTGTCATTCAAAACCCCTGTCTCTTACAGTTTCCTTTCATGACTGGCTTCTCTCTTCATCCCTCATCCCTTCTCTTTCATTCCTTCAGTTCTGTTCTACATCATTGTTTCTGTTTGGGAAACTGCTGTGTCCTCGTTTACGTTCTTTGTAGCTCTTGCCGAAAACAGGGTCACATTAAAATGAGAACGAAATGCCAATGTTCAATTTGGCACCATATTGCCAAGTGGTTTTAGTCAGCCTTTTCTTTACTTTTACTCACATTTTCATGAAGTAGTTTAGTTTTCAAAAACAATCCTATTTGAAAATTTTCCCATTGATCTGTAAAGTTTACCTTATTCAACTGTTACATCATCAGGTAATTTCATGCCCCATAATCTGCACAATCTCACATGCATGTTAATTGTACCATATGTTTTCTCTGACAAAAGGATCTGAGCCATAATAGCATAGATATGTACAGGGTTGAGCTCTTTGTACTTGCACTAGTAAGTAACTCACTAGTAAGAGACACAAAATCACTTTCACATACTTTTAAATTAAATGTTCCCTCCTGGTGGAATGACCTGCCCAACTCAATCCGAGCAGCTGAGTCCTTAGCCATCTTCAAGAATCAGCTAAAAACACAACTCTTTCATCTTTATTTGCCGCTCTAGCACTCTCTATTCTAATTCTATTCTTTAAAAATAATTTGCCCCTTTAGACTTGCACTCTTTTAAATTACTAACTGCTTGTTTTCTAAAAAAACAAAAACAAAACACTAGCTTCTCTAATCTTTTTGTATTCTATTTGTTTTCTTTTTATGTATTATACAATTAACAAAAGCAAAAAGGCCTCTAACACTAGCTTGCTCTATTCTTTTTCTATTCTATCTGTTTTCGTTTTATTTATTATATAATAAAAAAAAACCTTGCTACGTGTACTGCATTAAGCTAATTGAGACTTGTTATTGCACTTGCATATCATTGCTCTCTTCTTTTTGATTTTGATTGCTTCCATTGTCCTCATTTGTAAGTCGCTTTGGATAAAAGC